CTCTCAAAAACGGACATTTCATGCTGAACGACCTAATAATTCACCTAATAGGTGGGCGGAGTTGCCGCGGGCGATGTCAAGTGACCATTAGTCAAAAACCTATCCAACATTGTATATGTGTGATCCATAGAAACTGTGAAAAACTGGCGTATGTAGCTATTACAGTGTATAATGTATGCAACATAAGTGTAAGTTGTGTTTCCGGCATAAAAATGACGTGGTTAAGGGGGGGGGAGGGGCATGTAGCGGGCCCTACAGTGTGCGGCGTATCGCGAAAGATTGATCAAAACTGCTTCGCGAAAGGTTATCATCATAGGCGACTAAAGTGAGACCTGCCAATTGGCGGAAACCAACAGAAGGAACTAGCGAAAGTAGAAAATGCCCTCCCATAGTCGAATAAGTTTAAAGTTTTCACGTCTTTGTTTTTAGTTCGGAATATTTGTTCAGGATGCTTCATTTGGTCGAAACCTCCGATTTCGTCCGTCCGTGGCTTTCATCCGTGAGCAAGGCATTGTTCGTGATAAGATAAATCTATTCCGACAACTCGGAAATTCCATGTCAGTACCTTTGGAACCGCCGAGTGGGAGGGTAAGTTTTTTTGAATATCTTTATGGTTCCCACCAATCTCTTCTCTTGTAGTGCTTTTTATTTTTAAAAATTGCTAAAAATTACTCGAAATTGTTGGAAAGCGTGGAATAGTCGCAGCGTTCATAGCTGCAACGGTCTGACGTTGTCAATTTCAGTGGTTCAGATCCATGATGACCCAATCTCTTGTTGGCCGAAACGAGTTCCTGGTGGGCAACGATTTTACACTTGCACATTTTTATGAAAATGACGAATCTTCCCGTTTCCCGCCTAAAGACACTACAACCACGAACTCCCGGTTGATAGAATCTTTCTCTTCAGCATAGTCCAATACGCCTCCTGAGAGGTTGTCGCACTTGCTCGTCTCCACAGTGAGTGGCGAGGGCGCTGTCATAAGCCGGCACTGCTCAGACTTCGCCAAAAACGCGCGACGATGCGCTACAATTGCGACACTGCTGTGAAGCCGATCGATACCAGCCTGCGTGACTACGCAAGAAATGTAGTTACCATATTCTTTCAAAGCACTAATTGG